TCCCAAGTAGCTGGGACTATGGGCACCTGCCACAGTACCCAGCTCTTTTTAGAGACAAGGTCTTGCTCTGGCTCAGGCTGGTCTCAAACCTGTGAGCTCAGGCAATCCACCTGTCTCAGCCTCCCAAGTGCTGAGATTACAGGTATGAGCCACCACGCCCAGCCTGCAACTTGTTTTTCATCAATAATTATATCCTTATAACTTCTACTAAATATTTCCTATATGTAAGCTACTTTCTAAGTAGTTTTTTAAGTGCCTGGTATTGGCCTTGAGACATTTTATATAATTTATTTTATTAAATCTCATCACCACCCTACATGGATAGTATTCTTTACCTCATAGATAAGAGGATGATACTCATAGGAATTAAATCTTCTGTCCAAATTCTTAAATGGAGGAGCAGAGACTCAAGTGTAGATAAATGTTCTATGGTAGGTAGAATAAAAGATGTCTACCTCCTAAATCCCCAAACCTGTGAATATGTTAATTTACATGGCAAAGGGGATTTAAATTAAGGATCTTAATATGGGAACATTATTCTGGATTATCCTGTAGGCCTAATTTATCACTATGGTGTTTATAAGGAGGAGGATAGAGTGTCAGAAAGACAGAAGAAAATGTGAAAGTAAAAGGTCAGAAGGATGCAGGGACCACGAGCCAAAAAAGCACAGACAGCATGTAGAAGCCAAAAAAGTCAAGGAAATGGATTCTCTCCTACAGCCTACGGAAGAAACTCAGTGCTATGGACAATTTAAGACTTCTAACTTTCAGAACTCTAAGAAAATAAATGTATGTTGTTTTAAGCTACTCAGTTTGTGGTAACTGGCTTTCTAGTTTGGTACACTTCATTTATTAATTCAATGTGTGTAAAACTGCATCTTGGGTAACTATTATATTTGTAATACAGCTCATTAGATGTTTATAAATTAACTCAGATGTTTATAACATACCATATTAGAAAAATGAGTCTTCAAGAAATGATTTTTGCTGTGCACAGTGGCTCACACCTGTAATCCTAGAACGCTGAGAGGTTGAGGCAGGTGAATTGCCTGAGCTCACAGGTTCAAGACCAGCCCCCTAGGCAACAGCATGACCCCATCTCCAAAAATAGCCAGGCATATGGTGGGTGCCTATAGTCTCAGCTACTGGGTAAGCTGAGGCAAGAAAATCACTTGAGCCCAAGAGTTTGAGGTTGCTATGAGCTGTAACATAACAGCACTCTACCAAGGGCAACAAAATGAGACTGTCTCAAAAAAAAAAAAAAAAAAGAGAAAGAAATGATTTGATCTGCCCTAGGTAGTAGGATTCCTACCAGATACATTTTTTTAATAATAAAAAATACTTTAAGGCCAGGCACAGTGACTCACAGCTATAATCTTAGTACTCTGGGAGGCCAAGGTGGGAGGACTGCTTAAGCTCAGGAATTCAAACCAGCCTGAGCAAGAGACTCCCATCTCCACTAAACATAGAAAAATTACCTGAGGGGTGGCACTCACATGTAATCCCAGCTACTAGGGAGGCTGAGGCAGGAGGGCTGGTTGAGCCCAAGAGTTTGAGATTGCAGTGAATTGTGATTCCACTGCCCTATATCCCAGGGTGACAGAGTGAGATTCTATCTAAAAAAAAAAAAGTTTTTTAAACTTTAAATATCTTTGAAAAATTTGAAACAATATACTGTCTTTCAGTAAAGATGATATACAAATGATATGTTCATACAGTGCAATATATTCACCTGTTAAAAATGGTGATGTAGGCTCGGCGCCTGTGGCTCAAGCGGCTAAGGCACCAGCCACATACACCTAAGGTGGCGGGTTCGAATCCCCAGCCCGGGCCCGCCAAACAACAATGAGGGCTGCAACCAAAAAATGGCCAGGCGTTGTGGCGGGCGCCTGTAGTCCCAGCTACTTGGGAGGCTGAGGCAGGAGACTCACTTGAGCCCAGGAGTTGGAGGTTGCTGTGAGCTGCGATGCCATGGCACTCTATCCAGGGGGATAGCTTGAGGCTCTGTCTCAAAAAATAAATAAATAAATAAATAAATAAATAAAAACGGTGATGTAGATTTATATTTTTAACATTAAAAGATTTCATATGTAATCAAGTAAAAACAGGTGGTTAGAAGAGTTTTATATATAGACAACTCAGTGTAAATGGTGAAATGAAACTTAAGTTTAGCCAAAAATATATATCAAAAAAATCTCAGAAAATACACACAAGTATAATAGATATGAAGTCTGAGTAGTGGTTTTCACTTTCTAAAATCTTTTAGTATATATCAATGCTTTGTGCTATGTTTACTATTTTAATGATCAAAAATAGTACAATTAATTCTAATTTGAAAAAGGCAAACATAAGAATACCTGTAGCAACAAGTATGAGATGAAATGAGTATTTTTTTTTTTTTGTATTCTACTGGTGAGAATGAAAACTGATTAAACTATTTTAGAAAATACTTTGTCAGGCTCGGCACCCCATATCTCAGTGAGTAGGGCATCGGCCACTTACAGTGAGGCTGGCGGGTTCGAGCCTAGCCAGGCCTGCTGAATAACAATGACAATTGCAACCAAAAAAAAAAGTAGCCAGTGTTGTGGCAGGCACCTGTAGTCCTAGATACTTAGGAGGCAGAGGCAAGGGAATTGTTTAAGCCCAACAGTAGGAGGTTGCTGTGAACTGTTATGCCACAGCACTCTACTGAGAGTGACATAGTGAAATTCTGTCTCAAAAAGAAAATACTTTGTCAATAGATACTCAAAGACAAAAATGTTCACATAGCTTGAACAATTCTTGGAAATCTATGCTAGGGAAACAATCCAAAGTATAGAAATATTTTTCATGTATACACTAAAATATATATGGCTCCATGTTTATAAAAATAATGGTGTAAGAATGATTTAGAAAACTTTTATGCATTCACTCACAAGATGAAAGCTGCTGGCAAAAGCTTTCAATATGAATTACCAAGACTATCTAGTACCTTGAAAAAATGCTTTTTGTGTTATGTATTTTATGGGGAAAAAAAGAGTAAATTGTATACACAGTACAAACTCAACAATGTAAGGACATGTATTGCTAAAATAATAAGAGAAAATTATGGTCCAAATGCTCATCCTTCAAAGATAGAAGTTATCCCAGAATACTGACATTATAAGTCACTTTTTAACCCTCTTACCACTTTCTGTATTTTCCAGGATTCTTATAAGTTGAGTTTCTGCTTTGGTTTTGTTTTCAATGGATCTGCCCTATCTTTAGGGCCCTGAAAACTCACAGAATGGGAAAAAAGATAAAATTAGCTTTACTTACTACATCTTTACCATTATTACCTTGGACATATCTTATTCATAAATTCATGGTAATGAAATATTTAATTTGATTGCTCCTCAGGTGGTAGCTATTATTGTAATTATTTGCCTGCCTCTCTGTGGAAGAACTCGAGCTTAGTCTCCCTCCCTGTCCAGGGAATTATTAAAAAACAGGTTTTCAGTCTGTTAATCTTTCTATTCTTAACATTAGACCGAGTGCGTGGCACACTGCAGACTCTCCATATGAGTGGAATAAGTTAATGATTAAAGGAATGAAATAGGTAGTTGAAGATACTACTAGGGATAGATTTTTTTTCTTGAGTTAGAAATACAGCAGAGAAGCCGAGGTTTGGGAGTGCACACAATTGCTCAGCAAAGAATCGGTTTTAGTAATGCCAGGAAGAAGATATTTCTCCAGTGAAATATAGTACACATAGAAAAATTAAAAACCAAAATCCATTACACCGGCAGGCAAAACAGACGTGGACTTTGCCCTCGCGGATATTACAGTCGGGCACACTGTCCCACGCAATATGGTACACACCTGTTACCATAGTTTGGATTTTTTGTCCATGACTGTCAATGGAATAAATTTTGAGGGTAGTTTCTTATTCAGCAAAGTCTAACACACAGCTAGAGTTTAATAAATGTTTAGGGAGTCAATGCCAAGGAAGTAAAACAAACAGTAGCTCTAGTCCAAATAGAGGCAAAATTCCATTCTGGGAATCCCTGTCCCCACAGTAAGCAACAGCGACAACACATTCTGCCAGAGGAGTAACCTCCTCATGTCCATATCCTGGGTTTCCCACCTCACAATCAGGGAAAGCAGGAGCGAGGCACCTGAATCCTCCTTCAGACTTCATCGATCCGAGAACCTAGCCTTAAAAAAGCATCCACTGGCTTAATCCCATTACGTAATCTAAACAGGTCCCTTAAGCCGAAAACGCCACGCCCACACTCTCTCAACAAACTCTCAGCAGACAGGAGCGAGAGGCCCCGCCCACCGACTCGAACTCAGCCAATGCAAACTTCCCAACTGCCCACAACGGCATCACGATGCCTTCTGGGATATGTAGGCCACCGAATATAGGCTTCCCGCCTTCAAGGGACTACAATTCCCGGCGGCCACTGCGCTCCAAGATGCGCCCACCTTGGGGGAGGGGCCCAGAGCTTTCAGGAAGGGGGCGGGTCTTTACTCGTCTCCCACGCGTCTAGGACCTGTGGGATTGTTGCTGCCGGTGCCGGGCGGCGATTCCCACGTGGTGGGTTTCTTCAGCTATCCTTCCCGTCTGGTTCTGCTGGACTTCCCGGGCCTGTGGGCCCGCTTCCTGCAGAGATGCCGAAGGTCAAGTCTGGGGCGATCGGCCGCCGCCGGGAGAGGCAGGAACAGCGCAGGGAGCTGAAGAGTGCTGGAGGTGCGGAGCCCGGGGAGGTCGAGTCTGGCCTTCTGGGGGGACAACCCTAGTGTGCTGGCCGCAGTCTGAGCCGCTGCTTGAGGCTGGTCGGGACCCGAGCCCCCGTGGGCGCGGAAGTCCGGGGTTTCTAGAACGCCGGCCGTAGGCCCTCCGCGCCGGCCTTGGCTACCTTTCCAGCGAAAGGGGTGGACACAATCGTTTGTTACCTCCGGCCCGGAGTTTGACATTTTATTGGCCCTCGTTGGCGCAGAAATCTTACAGCTACCCGTCCTTCTTTCATCTTAGTAGAGAAAATTAAGGCTGTTTCACATTTTCTTCCAGGACTCATGTTCAACACTGGGATTGGGCAACACATTTTGAAAAATCCTCTCATTGTTAACAGCATTATTGATAAGGTCAGTGTGGAAAAGGAAAGGGAGACAGTTGTTGGCTTATTAATTTTATTCTTGGGAATACTTAATCGCAGGATTCCTGGGATAAAATAGATACTTTATAAATATTTGTTGATTACATTAAAGAATTATCTAGGACTTGTAGGCTGTCTTGTGCATGATAAGATTTATCCTGTGGGTCTGGGTTTCTCTTGGCCACAAATTCTTTGTCTTTCTGTGGATTATCTACTTCATAGCTGGATTTTTGTACCTGTGCAATTCCAGATTATCATTCTATTATTCTTAATCATTTTTCTTGGTGCCATATTACTTTTAGTTTTTATTTGCTCCAGAGTCTAAAACTTATGTCTAGAATATGCATTAGGAAGTTTATTCCCCAGAAAAACATAACAGTATTGAATATAAATTAATTTGATGTATTCCAGTCCACACATAAATTATTTGGAGTATTCCTCCTATCTGGTTTATTAATATTCTCTTATTGTTATGGAAGGGTTTGTGCTAAGGAGTGAAATGTATTGCTAAGGAGTGCAAATAACTTTTATGGTTACAAACAAGGAAGCATCCTAGAGCTGTAGAAAGAGCATTACATAGTTAAAGGATCTTATGGGACTCAGTGTTATTTGCAAAATGAGAGGTGGCGTGATTTTTTAACCTTTTTAATATAGCTCATGAGTTCCTTGGAGCATCTGATGAGAGCTCTGGAGCTAGAATATTGCAACTGTTTGCATACACCCACTTTTGCATATGGTTTCTCACACTGCTGCATCCCTGAAACCATACATGGGTTGAGCGTTGGAAATTCTGCCCAATGCGTACAGTTCTTTCCCATTCCAGCTTGTTGATATGAACAGAGTTGGTAATAAGTAGTTACTGGAATCATTTTCAAGAGAAAAAGCATAACACAAATACCAGAATGAGCTGCCGTTTCTGCTTTTGTGACTCCTAAAATTGAGTATTCTGCCAAGTCAGGAAAGGTCTTAGATTTTCATTTGCACCTGATGATATTGAGGTAATTTCGTTAACCACATAGATCAGTGGTTCTCAACCTTCCTAATGCTGTGACCCTTTAATACAGTTCCTTATGTTTTGGTGAGCTCTAACCATAAAATTATTTTTGTTGCTGCTATAGTAACAACAAAAATAATTTTATTTTCATTGCTAGGAGCTCCTTGCTTATAACCATAAAAGTCATTTGTGCCCTTTTATGGTTGGGGGTCACCACAACATGAGGAACTGTATTAAAGGGTCACAGCATTAGGAAGGTTGAGAACCACTTATGTAGATCATGAGGAAATCTCCCCAAAATGGAGTCAGAATAAGATCTTTCAACTGAGTATTTATGAGCAGAGATGTTTAGGTATAAATTAAATTCTATGTGCAGATGTGTGGGAACAGCTAACATGGTTATGCTTGCTTTTAGGCTGCTTTAAGACCAACAGATGTGGTGCTGGAAGTTGGACCTGGAACTGGCAACATGACTGTAAAGTTGTTAGAAAAGGCAAAAAAGGTAAAAAGATGACTTCATATTTTAGTATCAGAAATTACTATGTGAGCAAGCTCAGCTGGTTTACAAATATAAATCTGTTTTAATTAATTGCTGTTATTTTAATAGTAACTCTTAATCCCTAAAAATTTTATTTCAGAAAATATAAGATGTCAGTCAGGAAAACAGCACATTAAGTATTAAAATAGGGAATTTAATATAGGGAATTGGTTACATATTTGATAGAGGACTATAAGAAAAAAATGAGGACACTGAAATAACCCCAGAATAACAATTGCAAAGAACAGCTACCACCTTTCTGCCTAGGGGACAAAGCAAAGAGGTTGGAGTTACTGGAATCTGGAACTTTGGAGGAAGAGACCTGTAGAGCTAGAGCTCAGGTCTCTTTGAGATTGGGTACCATTTGGCTGTTGCTGGTATCTTAGATCTTGGCTGACCCAGCTTCTAGTTAAATGGAACCACTGTTCCTAGTGGAAACAGCACACTTTAAATTGCTTATCTTGGCTCAGCGGCTAGGGTGCCCATCACATACACCAAGGCTGGGTGGGTTCAAACCAGCCCAAGCCTGCCAAACAACAATGAAAACAATAACAACAGATTAGTAGCCAGGCGTTGTGGCAGCACCTGTAGTCCTAGCTACTTGGGAGGCTGAGGCAAGAGAATCCCTTAAGCCCAAGAGTTTGAGGTTGCTGTGGGCTATGACACCACAGCACTCTACCGAGGGCAATATAGTAAGATTCTGTCTCCAAATAAATAAACAATAAATTGCTTATCTTAGAGTTTAATGAAGAGGCCATTTACAGACATGTGGGAATGAGGTTGAGGGAACTAGTAAGCATAAGTGAAATTTGGGACTAGCCACAGCAGGAAGCAGTTATCCAAAGACCCAGCAAAAGGGGAGGAAACTGTTACTGGAGCCCAGCGAGAGTAGGAGCCAGTGAAGAGAAGCCACTCAGAGTACCACAACTGCCAAAACTTCGAGAAGGGATGAGGCAGGAATTAGGAAATAAATAGCCAGTCCCTCCCCATGCCTTTCACTGGCCAATTCTAACCAGAAGTCAAAGGGTAAGGGAACGAGATTGCGTTACCTACAGGGCATAGAGTAAGATAGAGAACAGATTGGGAGCCAAACTGATTAAGCAGCACATATGTCTACCCAGTAGACACGGTCTTCTTGGAAGTCAGTGAAATGTTAGCTGAAATTGCAATAAACTTATAACGTAAGCCTTATTTGAACTTTATGTGATGTCTGTTTTCATTTATTTAAGAATTCGTTTGTTACGTATTCTGGATTCAGTAGATGAGAAAAGTGATACACTCATCCTATCAGCAATTGTATTGTATATTCCTGCCTAAAGAACACTGACTACTCAGACATAGTGTGTATTTTTTTTCATCTGTTCAATTACAAAGCCTGGAGACAGACAAAATGTGGTCATTCTGTTGAATATTTGGGTAGATCCTCTCATATAATCTGGTTGTCTACTTTTTCATGTGGTGTTTTTTGTTGTTTAAAGTGGGAGAGTACAATTGATAGATACTCCCCAAGACTTGTAGAGTTGCTAAAAAAAGAAAAAAAGAATATTGATGATAGACTTAGAAAAAGAATTTTAAATCATGTAAGAATTACTATTGGAATAACAAGAAAATATTTATACTCCCTAATTAACCTAAAGAAACTTTTTTTAAAAAATTTAGGTAGTTGCCTGTGAACTTGACCCAAGGCTAGTAGCTGAACTTCACAAGAGAGTTCAGGGCACGTGAGTATGCATAATAGAATTCAAGTGTATTTCAGTCTCATGAAACAATATTTGTAAATTTCTTCTTTTCTTATCAGGCCTCTGGCCAGCAAACTTCAAGTAATGGTGGGAGATGTGTTGAAAACTGATTTGCCATTCTTTGATGCTTGTGTGGCAAATTTGCCTTACCAGGTATGTCCTCAAATTGTCTGGAACATCATAGGAAGTATTTCTCTAGTGTGTCTCTCCCAGAAATAACTAGTTCATTCTCTTACAGATCTCTTCTCCTTTTGTCTTCAAGCTGTTACTACACCGACCTTTTTTCAGGTTTGTGACAAAAGATAAGAGTTTACTGCCAAATTTTAGAAAGGTTGACAACTTAGGCTGTGAATACAGCCCAAAATGAAAGTCAAGTCAATTGAGAAACTTGGAGAATTTTTATAGAAAATACTGATTTGTGGCTCGGCGGTGCCTATAGCTCAACCGGCTAAGGCGCCCGCCACGTACACCTAAGGTGGCAGGTTCGAATCCCCAGCCCGGACCCGCCAAACAACAATGACGGCTGCAACCAAAAAATAGCCGGGCGTTGTGGTGGGTGCCTATGGTCCCAGCTACTTGGGAGGCGGAGGCAGGAGACTCGCAGGAGCCCAGGAGTTGGAGGTTGCTGTGAGCTGTAATGCCACGGCACTCTACCCAGGGGGACAGCTTGAGGCTCTGTCTCCAAAAAAAAAAAAAAAGAAAGAAAGAAAATACTGATTTGTATGTGTGTCTTTCTTTCTCTCTTTCAATTGATAAAAGTTATTTGGTGGAGGTGTGGTATAGGTCCTCTTTCTGAGACGTGGCATCCTTTCCCTACTTTTTAATCTTCTTGACATTAGTCTAAGCCAGACTTTTTATTACCTATGTCTAGACAATTGCAGTGGCTTCCTAACTAATCTCTAGTACAAGGTCTTCACAAAGTTTAGGAAAATGCTTATGATAAAAAAAAAACTATGCATGAATTCATGGATTTCTCTTCTGTAGTTTTTTATACATATATAGAGATAAGGTCTGTCATCCAGACTAGAGTGTAATAGCATGATTATATAGCTCACAGTAACCTCATACTCCTGGGCTGAAGTGACCCTCCTGCCTTAGCCTCTCAAGTAGCAACTGGGACTTCAGGCATGTGCCACTAGGCCCTGCTAATTTCTTTTTGTATGTGTAGACATGGGGGGGTTTGCTATGTTGCCCAGGTTAGTCTTGAACTCCAGGCCTCAAGTTATCCTCCTGCCTTGGCCTCCCAAGTTGCTGGTTATTATAGATGTGAACCACCGTGCCAAGCTCAAAAGCAGAACTTTCAATGAAAATTTTAAGCATGTGAGATCAACAAGCATTTCCTATTGAATCATAAGAATTTTAAGAGTAGGTGAAACATGGCTTTACCAATATGATCCTAAAGACAATGCACAATCAAAGCAATAGGTGGAAGTTACCAAGTGTTAGAAGTGGTCCAATTAAAGAAAAAGTGAAATGGTCAAGAGCAAAGGTCATGGCAATAGAATTTTGGGATGTTCAACACATCTTTTTTATTGACTTTCTGGAGAGCCACAAAATGATAATGTTTGCTTATGAAAATGTTTTGAGGGCTTGGTGCCTGTGGCTCAAGCGGCTAAGGCGCCAGCCACATACACCTAAAGTGGCGGGTTCGAATCCCCAGCCCGGGCCCGCCAAACAACAATGATGGCTGCAACCAAAAAATGGCCAGGCATTGTGGCGGGCGCCTGTGGTCCCAGCTACTTGGGAGGCTGAGGCAGGAGACTCGCTTGAGCCCAGGAGTTGGAGGTTGCTGTGAGCTGTGATGCCATAGCACTCTACCCAGGGGGATAGCTTGAGGCTCCGTCTTAAAAAAAAAAAAAAAAAGAAAATGTTTTGAGAAAGCCAAAGCTTTAGCAGAAAAGTGCCCAGGAAAGCTTAGAGATTGCTGTACCACATCTGTGCTCCTGCTTATTTCTCATCAACCAAGGGCAAAGTTGCAAGAGTTTTGACAGGAAATCATTAGACATGCACCTTACAGTCCTGATTTGGCTCCTGACTTTTTAAAAAGTCTTTAAAGGGCACCCATTTTTTTCAGCTAATGTTAAAAAGACTGCATTAACCCGGTTAAATTCTTAGGGTCCTGTTCGTTAGGAATGGATTAAATGGTTAGTATCATTACATACAAAGTGTCTTGACCTTGATGGAGCTTATGTTGAGAGGTAATTCTTTTTTTTGTTTGTTTGTTTGACTCAGAGTCTCAACTATGTTGCCCTTGATAAGAGTGTGGTGGTGTCACAGCTCACAGCAATCTCAAACTCTTGGGCTTAAGTGATTCTCTTGCCTCAGCTCCCAAGTAGCTGGGACTACAGGTGCCCACCACTATGCTCAGCTATTATTTTGTTGTTGTTGTTGTCATTGTTTAGGAGGCTTGTTCTGAGTTCGAACCTACTGGCCCTGGTGCATGTGGCCTGGTGCCCCAACCACTGAGCCGAGAGGTAATTCTTGTATTTTTATCTTTATCTTTTATTTTATTTTATTTGTTGTTGTTGTTGTTGTTGTTGAGACAGAGTCCCACCCTGTGCCCTGAGCAGAGTGCAATGGCATCATAGCTTACTGCAACCTCAGACTTGGGCTGTGGGCATTCTGCTGCATTCTCCACAACACCCAGCTGGGTTTTTCATTTTTTTTTTGAGTTGGGGTCTCACTCTCACTCAGGCAAGTCTCTAACTCCTGAGCTCAAGCAGTTCTCCTTCCTCACCCTCCCACAGTGCTGGTATTACAGTCAGGAGCCACTGCCCCCAGCTGTTTTTATCTGTAATTCCATTTTTTCATAAGCTTTTTGAAGTCTCCTTATACAGTCTATACTAGTGGCTTTCAAACTCAAGTCAGAAACCCCTTAGTAGCAATACAATAAATTTTGTGAATTGTGACTGTTCTTTTTGTTTGTTTGTTTTTAATGACACAATGTATCAGAGGCATTGCATGTGGTACAGGTGCTTATAGTTTTATGAAACTTTTGTTTTGAAATACAGTATATATTGGGCGGTACCTGTGGCTCAAAGGAATAGGGTGCCCCATATGCTAGAGATGGCAGGTTCAAATCCAGCCCTAGCCAAAAAAAAAAAAAAAGTGAAATACAGTATATAAGCATGTGTATATACAGATATTTGTGGCCTGGATTGCGACATCAAATGTATTTCTTGGTATGACTC